CTCTCTCTCTCTCTCTCTCTCTCTCTCTCTCTCTCTCTCTCTCTCTCTCTCTCTCTCTCTCTCTCTCTCTCTCTCTCTCTCTCTCTCTCTGCCTTTCTTTTTTTGGATATCTCTCTACTCTCTCGTTACTTCTATCTATTTGGCGCGGACATTCGATCGCTGGACCGAAGAAAGCGCCGGATTCTACGTGAAGACAGAAAACAACCCCTCCGGAGGTCGGGCGATTCTATCCGCTCAACGTGGCGTGCATACACATGGACTTTGCTGCACGAGTCTCCGACTCGCCTGCAAAAATGCATGGCCCGCTTAATCCGCCATCCCTCGCGAACAATAGTTGCGACTATTTAATCCCTTTTTGTAACTATTTTATTCTAAACGTATAGAAATTTATTTTCTTAATTACATATACTTAATTATCTATGAAATACAAATTCTCAATTTATCCATGCCATTTTCTAAACTTGCGATCGCATAGTGATCTCCTGTTATGTTTTTTTCTTGTGATTTCCATGTGTGTTTAACGATATTTGTAACATTTTTAATTAGTTCAAATGCAAAAGTTTGATTTTGTATTATCGGTTCTCTGCCTCATAATCTCAGATAATTTTGTTATATTTAGTATTCAGATAATTTTGTAGAAAAAATCTTTTTATTTTTAATGCAAGAGAAAAAAGCAACTAATTATAAGAGAGAGAAGAAAGCTTATTAACAAGAGACTTGTCATAACTGTCCGTAACCGATTTGATTCTCCTTGAAATATGTTATTAAACACAAAAATCTAAGAGGCACGTATTTTTTTATATGTGCTCAATCGGAGTTTTAAAGGGTGAAACAATCTTTCAAAGGCTAACTTATATTTTTGATTTCCATCAATTATGAACGAAACGGTAAGATATATAAAAAAATGTTTTAGACAAAACTTTTTATTATTTCTTATGTACTTTATAACTATATATTTAGATTTTTAAAAATTAATATTTTTAACTACCCCACTCTTTATTATTATTTTTA